TTTTGATGCATGCAGGGTCTTTGAGCAGTGATGTGTGTGTGTATTATCACTGGTGATCTACTTGGATATCTTTGTGATTCATTGTTTACAAAAAATGAAAATGCTTATAACTATGCTACACTAATCAAAAGCTTAAACTCAACTACAAAAAAGGAGTCCATTAAAAATGATCACATCAGCTTCTAATGATGAGTGAAGAGTATCATTTTGATACTCTTGTTGAACAGGAACATCGTGAGGCTCCAAACTGGCTACCCTTGCAAAGGACATTGAGGGGGTGGCTTCCATAGCAATTACAAGCATAACACAGCCCAAACAATTTCTTTCTTCTATTTACTAGGCTCCAAGTACGTGATAGCTTACGAAATTTCTTCTTTTTTCTCCAAGAAATCTGTATATTTGTGACAAAAGTGAATGAATGAATAAGAGAAACAGAGAGAGAGAGAGAGAAAAGAAAATAATTTTGTTGTCATTACTGGATTATTACTGTTAATGTCACCTTGCACTTGAGCCATTTACACCGGATTTTCCTAGACTGCCGGTATGCATAAACATCAATACTTCCTTTAGTTGTACCATATACTTCAAAGCATGCATTAGCATCCTGTGATGATGAGCCACAGACTGAAGTTGATGCTTCTGGATTTATGATATAGGATATGGAGGCTGAGACTGCTATACCTATTCTGTATATGAGCTAATAGAAAAAGAAAATTGAATAAAAAGTATCTCTGACATCCCAGCTCCCTTTTCACTCTTCTCTCATATTTTGACTCTCACCAATATCTTAGCAGAAGCTTCTCCTTTAACAGTTAGAGTGGGTCCTGTCTCAAGCATAGCTGATGCCTCCATATTAACATCATCCTCTAAACGGGCAATGGATGCATTGAACTCCATTTGTCCAGATATTTGGCCACTGAGAGAGAGATCCAGAGTACCTACATAAATAAAAAAGCTATACTTTGCTCGGAAAAGAGTAACTGTCTTTTTCCACGAGCGAGTATACTTGTATGTGCTTGTAGTTGTGCGCATTGTATTTAAGAGCGTAGAACCAACTATCTTAATGTAACGCTTGTATG